CTTTATGGTCTATGTAATATATTTTTTATTTATTTATTGATTTTTTTTCCTTTTACAATTTATTCACCATTCAATTAGGTTATATAGTTTAGGATTATCAAATTTATTATAAAATTTTCATTCCCATATATTATCTTTTCTCATATTTCCTCTAAATGAATTCAAATTTGCACTCATTTTTACAAGTTCAGAGTTTTTGATTGTTATTTTACTTTTTTTTAGCATTTTACAATTAAATTAATCTTAATTCTATTCATCCTGAAAGATTTTATAATCTAAATGTCCTAAAAGAAACTTTTAAATACACCAAGCCTTTTCTTTTATTACATTAAAGCGTTCAATTCTTTAAATAAAAAAAATAATTTGCCTTTAAATGATGTAACTTAAAATGGGGTTTAAGGATGTAAACTTAAACTTAAAATCAAATTATCAGGTTAAGAAGGACTCCTCAATATTGGCTTAAACAGCTATGGCGGATTCATCTACCTCTATTTATCAAGCTTGTAAGATTGCATCCTTGAACCTTATTTCCTATATACTTCAGGTTTCAAGGGCCAAATTATTTTCATTTAATATTTTGAAAATAGATTTAATTTATTACTTTTGTATTTTACTATCATGATTAATTATTTACGATCAATTTTTAAATAGAATAATAAATTTAATTATCTAATTTTTTATCCAGGATTCACTCAGGTAAAAATATAGAATGTATTCGAGTATATATTGAAGCTTAATCTTTTATTATGACCTTACCTCATCCATTTTTCTCCATTTTCTGGAAAATGTTTACTTGTCTCGAGACCTTACTTATTCGCAATATTTGGAAACCTTACATAGGGTGAAGTTTTATGAACTCTCTTTCCATCCAATTTTAGAACTAGTATGATTTTTCAATTGTTTATGTTTCGATAAAGTAATGGAACTTAGAAGAGTAAATTTAATAAATCAGTATATTGTGGAATGCCTTTGTTTTGATGAGACCTTAAGAAATTAGTTTACCGACTTTGAAGTAGGAAAATTTTCATCTTATGATTTATCAGATTATATCTAATTTAATTTCATATAAGAATTAAAATTTATTGGCTGAGTATAAAGTGATAAAATGTAATTTATCATGTTTCTAGGTAATTTTATAGAAAAAACTCATATATTATATAAGTAACTCTAGCAAAAATAATATAAATTGTTAAAAAAATCATTAGTATCTCAAGAAAATTCATTAAGTATTATAATTTTTAAGATAAATATAGCTATATTGATAAAAGGAAATAAAAGTTTATCATGATTTTATATATTCCTTTAGTCTATGATATATCTTTGTTTGTAAGGGAAATGAAGTTCGATTATCAGTACAGAATTAATTAGATTAATATAACAGAACCAAAATATCTATAAATTTTTTAAATCAATTTTTTTACACTTTTTTTTTCAATCTTTCAGCAATAGAAGTAATTTTATTAAGAAGCACTCTTATTTTGAATGATTATTTATAATTTTGCATATGAAGAAAGTAATTGATAATTAACTTCGAAATAAGATGACTTAATTATTTAATTAACAAAACAAACATAGATTGAATATACTATAATAGCCCAAATAGATGATAGATGTTTAAAATAATTCTAAAAAATAATAGAAAATAGTAGAATTTAAAATTTTAGTGTTAATTAGATTGATTTAAGTCATACCAAAAATGACTATCAAATAGAAGTTAGGCAGAATACCAGATCTTATTATTAGATTAAATTACTATGACTCTGTTATTTAAATTAAGATCTTAGAAGATGCTTACTCTCTTATTGATAAAGTTTCTACTTGTTTTTAAAATGAAAATTATTAATATCTTACTTATAATTTGTAGATGAGTATTTTTATAAGGA